CCGGCCCATCAAATTTTCAGTGGCAGGATCTGCTTTTCTCTCTCGCAGAGGACTCCTTGCCACATGTGTTGCACCTCATTCAATCACTCAAGCCTTCTCTGTCATCATTTCTGTCTTCTTCATGTACTCTTCCATTCTTTCGTTTGTTCATTCTCACTCAAATCTTTCTGGAACATCTAATCCGTGTCAGGCACTGGGCTTAGTGTTAAGGATGTAAGAATGAGGACCGGGACACTGCCTCTTGTCTCAGAACTTACTGCTTTGTGGGACAGACAGAGAGGGAACAGATTATCACAATCCAGTGTGATGAGTGGAGAGAAAGAGAAGCAGAGGGCCCACCAAACCCACAGCTGGGATAAATGCTAATGGGAAGAAGGAGAAAGAGAGAGAGAGAGAGAGAGAGAGAGATGGATAGAGAGAGAGATGGAGAGAGAGAGAGAGATGGAGAGAGAGAGAGATGGAGAGAGAGAGAGAGAGATTAAGATACAGGAGAGAGATGGTATAATTGAGGGCAGGAGGTCCCTGAGAAGTTAAGAGAGGATGCCCGAGCAAAGGTGATGAATTTTCCTTCAAAAGGAGGTGGAACATCTTCCAGAGGAAGTGTGACAATGGAGGCACATTTGAAAGTTTGTGGCAGGAAGCTGAGAGATAGGTGATTAATGGAGGGTGGGACTCACCTTTATTTTGAAACAAACCAGGAATTTAAGAATGGAGGAGGTGGGCTCCGATCTGGCTGACTTTCTCAGGTGTCTTCTCCTTGCTGATGGATTACTCAGCCAGACGGCACCCACAAGCAATCGTGTAGGAGAAGATGGGGGTGAGGGCTCAAGTCGGCCACGGGTGAGCAGGGCAGATATAGATTCATTAAGGACTAATGTTTTGCTGGCACCCGCAACCTAATGTCACAGCCATTTCTGAAGGCACACTTTTCACATGGAAACCTGTATTTCTAACCCTGAGGAGTGTGAATAAAATTTGCAGAGGGAGCTTCAGAACGTTCAGACCAAAGTGTGACCATGCACACACATCTTCAGCAGGCAGGCTGTCAGAGTTCCCAATGCAAATAACGATGTTCATCTTCATCTTTTAGTGAAAGACACTACTCTGAAACCAGACATTCTGGATCCCATCAAGGACACATTGGAAGTACAACTTGGTAAGGTGGCTGGATTATCACCCTTGATTGACACTGCGCTTCTGGGAGCAGATCTAAGTGTGATATAAGGAAAAAGAGTACCAGATTTCAAGTCGGTAGAATTAGGTGTGAATCTTGACTCAGCCACCGACTAGTATCGTGATTTTACACGGCCACTTAATCTTCCTAAGCCTCAGTTTTTAAATCTGTAAATAGACAAAATAAAACTGACCTCACGAGGTGACACTGTAGAATGATGTGTGTTAGGTGGCTGGTGCTTGATCAATAGATTTTAGATTCTCCCTTACTCACCCCAGGAACAGGTGGTTACATATGTTGGCTCCATTGGTTAAATCTATACATTTAACCAATTTACCAAATTGAGTAGCATTGACCTTTAAAAATGTGATGTGGGGTCTGGTCTTCAAGATACTTACAGGCAAATAATTTGTTTTCCAAAGAAGTGTCTTCTTTTGGGTAGTGGGGCAATGTGACTTTCCTATGATCCCCTTTCATTTTGCCAACTTCAATAACATACACATATTCTCAAACAGCCAAATAAGACCTGATCTACTTAAGATCAAGTACTGGTTGTTTCAATAAAATAAGTGTTCTTTTAAATGTGAAAAAAAAACCCCAAAAACCTGTAGAAATGTAAAAATAGATATTATAGTAAAAGGCCGCTGGGTGGCAGTATCAGCATATCCTCATTATAAAAATGAAAAGACGGGCAGCAGCATAAGAATGGAAGAAAGGAGGAAAGAAGGAAAAAATGAGAATTAATTAGAAAATAACCAACTTACAAACAGTATCAGTGAATTTAAAGTATGACTGGTAGAGGGGACATTATTCAGGTGCAAAGATGAGTTTTCAAATGTAGTCCCTAACCATTTCATGTTAAAATATGAAATTTGAGGCAGAGTGTATCTGGATACCTATTACAGAGCAAATGGGGAGAAAGAGGGTGGTCGTGTGATAACACGCACGCACATCTATAGCGTATTGTTCAAAATGCAGCTGAATAGCTAAATGATTTCTTCTTTAAACTACACGCTACAGTAGCCTCATGATTTTTATTTACTATGCAAGTCTTGATTTAAAAAATGTCCTTTATTGACACATCTTGTACTTCAACAGCAGCGTTGGAAGACCAGGCTGGTCACTGAAACTTCTAATTTTCCTGGTATCGATCCTCAAACTGCCTTAGTCCTATGACCACGCAAATATTTTTAATTTTTAACTTTTTATTTTTAATTACAGTTTCATTTGTTAACTACAGTTGACATGCAATATCATATTAGTTTCAGGTGTACAACATACTGATTAGACATTTATATGCCAGAAGCGAACACCCAGATAAGTCAAATACCCATCTGACATCCCACACAGTTATTACAACGTTATTGACTATATTCCCTATGTCATATTTTAAGACCACATAGTCACAGGTTTGAGATCTAGGTGTTGCCCGTTAGAGACAAACATACCTGGTTTCATCTGTTTCTCAATGAGAGACAGGTGGATGTTGGGTTATTTCTGCCACACCTGTTCTACCTGCAAACCTGGCTACGCCAGGGACCAGTCTTCAGGTGGTGCATTTCTTCTGCACAGCACAAAGGGTCCTCACGGTCTTCCTTCCTGTTTTCTGCGGCCCCTTCATTTTCAGGAAAGCCTTTGACTCTTCATTGCAAAGCACGATTTGGGTTTGAAAAGAACTTTAGACCTGTGATAAAATGGTACAGCAAAGATTCTAACCAGCAGTTGGAAATCCCAAACACGCAGAAGGAATGGTAAGAAGGAAACTAGCAGACAATATTCTTTGCAACCCACAGTGAATGCTTTTACCTTTGAAAACTTCAAAATATACACACAGAGCTGAACCAGCACACAGAGCTAATGGAGTAGCCATGAGCACCGACTAGTGGTGAAAATAGAAATACAGGAATGCACAGTTCATGTTCATTTTAAACATGGGAGCTAAATGCAGTTTCTAACAGGGACATAGAATGAAATATTTAAGTTGTTTTAAAGCTTAATTTGTAGCAGCAGTTTGTTGCAGCTGCTTTAAACATTGAGCTGACAAGCAGACAGGCACACCGACCCTGGCTGCTTAAACAGAAGAAGCATGTCCATCAAATGGAGAGGAAGGTTACCCTCCAACCCCTCCCTATCTCTCCATTTCCCCCAGTGCCAACTATTCAGTGTATCCAAATCTTTGGAGTCATTAACGGTCCAGAATGTGTGAAATGAGGAAATGGCACAAGAATAAGGAGTCTGACCAAAAATATAAAGGTACACGAAGTAAGGAATAGCTGAAGCAATACCACCTGAGAAATGGGACTCAGGCGGGATATCTGTCTTGAAGGACTTGGCAGCTCTTATGTTTTATGAGAAACTACACTCAGGTTGTTGCTCTCCAGAGCACAGAACCCAGATTAGTGGCTAGAATTTACTGGGAAGACAATTTGGCTCAATAAAGAGGAAAACTCTAGCCATTTGGAGCTATCCAACCCCTCATAAAGCTGGCCTCCAGTTCCTGGAGGGTTAAGGGCTTGGATCCAATCTGCCAGCCATGTCACTAAAGGATACAGTCCCTCATTTTTCCAAGATCTGTTCTAAAGTAGTAGTCTATGGATTAAGCACTTCCTTCTGATTTGTAAAGCATTTCAATAAACAAATATAATATTTTAAAAATATACACTACAAATAATAAAGGACAGATTTGGGGGAACAGTAATAAAATTTAGCAAGAATGTCATGGCAAGGGTAGTCATGGGGTTCCCTATTAAGCTGATGCTGCATCAAGTTCAAAATAGCTCACAAAGAGGATATGCTCTGACTTCACATGCCCTTGTGTGACCCTTAACCCCTGCAAACCTTCATCACACCATCTATAATCCACCTTGCAAGGTTCCTGTAAGGAGCGGATAGAGTAGAGGTGATATGCCTATCATAGTCTCTGGCAGGTAAGAAGCATTCTATGATGAACGGTTGGTACTATAGGCTCTAAGCAACACAGACTAAAACATCATTTACCTAAACAGTATTCCTTAATATGAAGACAGACTGGAGATTGGCAACTTTAGGAAATCCAAATTGTGAATAAATGCTAAGACGCATGCTTCCTGGATGGGACAGAGTGGCGCAGCCCAGGAACTAGGCTACCCCTCCTAGGCAGTGTAACCTTGGACTGTCACCCACCTTCTGTGCCTGGTCTGCATTGCTGGCCAAGTTAGGATAAGCATACTGTTTCTAGGTGGGGCTCCTGTGAGGTGAGGAGGATATTTGATACTCCCCATTTAGTGCTCAGAAGACTGCCTGATGCATTGTAAGCCCTCAGTAGAAGTTAGTCATTTTTAAGACTATCCTTAAATTAATGTTATCATCTGTTCTCAGGGGGAATTCTTATAGGAAGTAAGGTCAGTTGAGGCCCACAAGTAAATTAAATATCAGTGTCAGTTCTTAGAATGATGCTTAGCAGATTCAATAATTTTTTTTAACAAACGAGCCCTCCCTGACCATCTTCTATCCTTCGGACATTTCCATATGCTGTTTGATCCCACGACTCTTTTAAAAGCCAAACTGTTGGCTGCTTATATGAGCTCCAAACACTGCAAATGGGTGTCAATTTATCTGCTGAATGAGTGAGATGTTTATCCTCCTTTCCTAGTGTTAAATCCACCCCTCAGGATGAAGTCATTGATTGTGTCCTCCGCTTCGAAAAAGTCACTCAGAGTGATCTCCTCAAGACATTCATTTGCTTTGCCCAGAACTCCATCGGGAACACTACCCAGTCCATCCAACTGAAGGAAAAGAAAGGAGGTGAGCCTGGAAGGTTGCTGCAGGAGGCATACAACTGCGTTTATCTGAGGGGAGAGGAATTTTTCTAAATGTTAGTGATGATGATGATAGCAGCTAGTATTTATTATGTGAGACAATGTTCCAAGCACTTTGCTGTGTTAATTCATTGAATACCTTAGCCAAGACCACACAACCAGTAAGTTTCGAATTGGTGATCCAGAGCTGGTCCTTTTAACTAATACTCTGTGCATGGGGGCTGTGTTGAGAAAGCCTATCATTCATTCAATTAGTCATTCATTCATTCATTCATCAATACCTACAGGGCATGCTCTATGTGGCAAGTATCATGCTAGGTCCTAGCTCCCTTTCCTGTTTTCCTTTCCTGGTTTCCGAATCCAGAGGACATAATTGTTAGGTATTGGAGAGCAGAGGCAAGAAAAAGTAATTTTGCTCAGTGTTCAGAGTGATATGTGTATATCACAGATCATAGCTTTGTAAAGCTGCAGTAGCTATTCCTGATAAGGAATAGCTTTTAAGTTTTTTTAAGAAGATGCTCAGAGATGAAGTTGATTTCATTTATTCACTCAATTAATAGATGATCCTAGAACAGGAGGTTTTGAATGCCAATGAGGTTTTAAAAAGACAAAATTTGTGCCTGGCCCTTAGTAAATACTCCATAAAGGTGTGTCCCACATATTAGGGTCCACGGAGGGTACGAAAGTGAGCCAGACATAGACTTCAGTAAGGATGATAATATATGATAATAATTTACCATATACAATGAGAGGGATGCAAATGTGTTGTGTGGACGTTTATGGGGAAAATAAATAAAAATGGCGATCATCAGTTTCCCAGGCCACCCCGATCAGGATCTGCCTATTCCCCCGGGTTTTCTTGAGTTCATTGTAAGGTGGTTCCCTCAAGATGTGATTTAAGACATTTCTAGATTCAAGAGAAATGCTTCCAGGAGCAGTGATATTGATAAATAGGAGTGGAAAAGGCACTGGTTGGGCTCAGAGCATTGGCCTGCGCGTGGCCTTGCCCCAGGCGTGCTGTCTCTGCATTTGCTCACGGCTGCCATGCTTTTCCCAGTGGTGTTCCTGTACATCCTGCTTGGCACCGTCATGGCACTGGCAGGAGCACTGACCACAAGTGCTCTCGTCTACATGAACTGGATTGAGATAGTGCTGCTGTACCGAACCTACAAGAGGAAGGATGAGACGCTCGGGGGTAAGGTGACCCCAACTTGCCTCTGGCTTCTCCTCCCAGAACCGACTTAGAGGGAGAAGCTCCAAGAACAGATGTTCCTTGATGGACAAAGTCATGCCCCTCAGGCTTTGGGACTTCCTCTGGGTCTGGTGGTTCACACCTGGAGGGCTGGGAGCAAGTGAAGAAACAATTTCTTTTCATTCCAGTTACCAGGACTCTTGCCAATGATGCTATTGTTGGACATGTTGGACTTGAAAATAATCTTGCTGCTAACCAAACTAAAGCAATCTGGCAAATGACTTAGCACCTTTGTGTCTTGGTTTCCCCTTCTGCAAAACAAGATTGTAATCACAATGAAGGCTGTGAGGGCCCAGGATAAGACAGGTTAAGCTTTTAGAACATCATCTAACACATAGTGAACACTCAGTATATGCCAGCAATTATTTTTTCATGAGTACCAAGTGCATGATAATCATGTGTATTAGCTACTTGCATTGTCACAGCAATCCTACAAGCCAGACAGAGGTGTAAAGTCACGTGCCCCAAATTAAACTGCTGGGCATTGTTAGAGCTTGGGACTTTGATCTAGGCAGTTTGGCTCAGAGTCCCCATTAGCTGTTACCTCGGTCAGCCTCACCTGTAAATGAGGAGCTTGAAGATGGTGGAAATGTCCCCAAAAGCATGAAGTTCTGTAAGATTCAAGTACTATATGATTAATGAAGTGTCCGTCCATTTTCCCATGAGACAGGATTATACCATTTACTAATGTTTGCTTCTTTAGAAGAGCTGCTTTTGTGTTTCACTCGTCCTGGACACCCCTAAGTTAGAATGTTTGCAATTTTAGAGGGGAGGGGAATGGCTATTTATCTTGGGATCACTGTGAGTCAGATACCAAGCTCTTTACATACATTAACTCATGCAGCCCTGAAAGCAGCCTGCCTGGGAAGTTTTCATTGATTTACTTCACATGTGGGGATTCAAGTAGAGGTAATGTGTGCCACCAGCTCTGTAATGTGCAAGGTACAGGGTCTTACCAGGGCCTTGCTCACTGGGTGTGGTCATGCTTTGATGGAGTATACACTCTTCTTCGATGTGTAACTAATGAGACAGCAATACTACAGATGCAAAGAAAGCTCAGAGGAACCACCAAGTACCTGTGATTTAGTCACAGAAGGCCCCAGCTGTTTGATGTGACCTCAGTGAAACTGCAGGAGTGCTTCGGAAATTAGAGTTTGATTCTGGGCAGACAGTCACTACCACTTATCAGTGAGATTTTGACATGGTCTAAGCTGCTGCTTTGCTTTCATTGTTTAACCAATTCAGTAAGGACCCCAAATGTTAATTCTTAGCCATTTACCATATGGTTCGAGCATATGTAAGTATACCGTAATAGGAAAATTATGGAAATGGCTTACACTTATTATTGCTCCTCTTCTTCAGACAAAAAGGAATTCGATGCCTTCATCTCCTATGCGAAATGGAGCTCTTTTGACAGTGAGGCCAGTTCATCTCTGAGTGAGGCAACCTTTGCCCTGAATCTATTCCCTGAAGTTTTGGAAAACAAATATGGATATACCTTGTGTTTGTTTGAAAGAGATGTGGCCCCAGGAGGAGGTAGGCCCTGCATGCCAAAAGAAAAGATCGAACAAGAGGGACAGTTAAATACAAGTGCTCTTACGTTTCCCTGTCACTCTTTCTGTTGGGATATACATCTCCTGGAAGGTCTCCTGAGCTTAGAACATCTTGGCAACAAGAAAAATGTGTGTTGCACAGACATGCTCCATCATCCGAAAAAAAAATTCATCTTCAGAAGAAAAGATAATATCGGGCCCCATGGAGGCCTTCCAGAAAAAAGATGTCTTTCTTGGCTTCTCAGCAGGAAGTTGTCAGTGATTCCTAATGGGTACTTCCCCTGTTTTAGGGGGCACAGATCTCAGCACTGGGTCAAACAGGCTTCTCAGGCCTGAGCCCAGCCCTGACCTCCCATCAGATGTGCAGACCTCATCCTTTCCCACTGACCTCCTCTGCCTCAGGTTCCCCACCAAAGAGCCTGGAACACTCCATGGCCCTTTGTTAACCCAGCCTACTTTGTTCAACAAGTTTTGCTTATAGAGGAACTGACAATTTGAGGAGATAGAACACAAGGGGAAGAATGTAAAATTGAGTCACTAGACATTGTAGTCTATCTTCAACTGTCAATAGAATTGATATAGCAAATGTGATATAATCAGCCATGTTCCCTTTCCTCCTTATGTAAGAGTGTCCATCACAAGGAACCTTCTGGGTAGATCTGGGAGATTCAGGGTTATTGGGACTCAAGGTTTAACAATACCACTTGTAATTAATAATATTCTTTATTTCCAGTGTATGCAGAAGACATTGTAAGCATTATTAAGAAAAGCAGAAGAGGAATATTTATCTTGAGCCCCAACTATGTCAATGGACCCAGTGTCTTTGAACTACAAGCAGCAGTGAATCTTGCCTTGGATGATCAAACACTGAAACTCATTTTAATTAAGTTCTGTCCCTTCCAAGAGCCAGAGTCTCTACCTCATCTTGTGAAAAAGGCTCTCCGGGTTTTGCCCACAGTGACTTGGAGAGGTTTAAAATCAGTGCCTTCCAATTCCAGGTTCTGGACTCAAATGCGCTACCACATGCCTGTGAAAAACTCTAAAGGATCCACGTGAAGCCATCTCAGAATTATCCCAAGAAGTTTTTCACTGGAAAGGACTCCATAAAACAGAAACCACTGGGAGGAGCTCCCAGCTCAGGGAATGGTGAAATGGGCCCTGAACCACCTCCCCTCCAGCCCTTGGCGAGTGGGGATGGTGATGGACTGAACACACAGCATGGACCGGGCTGATATAAAATGGAGGGTGGCCTGCCAGCTCTGAGCAAGCTTGACAGGCACCGGTATGACCGAAGCTGTGGTCAGAGCCTCTGATTTCTTGGACTGGACAGAGGGAGAGTAAATTCTCCAGATACCAGCTCACATTCAGCACACAGCACCCCGAAGATTTTCCTAGCAGTATGAGCAGAATCAGTAGGTCTGGCCACTTTTGTTTTGTGGCTATGGACTGTCATGTCTAATAGGTACTGAATGTATAAATATAAATATATATAATATTTGCAATGAAATAAATATTATTTTATTAGAAACAACTGATTTAAACTTGGCGAAAAACTTCTCTGTAAAGAAGACAATTCTTACTTCATGTTCACCCATTAACTCTGGAACACAGAAAGCAAGTAGGAAAGGCAGAGGTCAGGAGATAAGGCCACAATTACCCTTTACTGTGTCCTTGTGGGAAGTACCCCTGTGGGCAGATGAACAGAGTCCCTTCCATGGGGCTGATGCAGCCCTGTGTTGGTACATAAGGCCTGGGGAGCAGGCAGGTTAGGCTAATTTCAGCTTCTCCTTATGCCCTTGGCCTTTGGGAGGGCATGGAGTACACAGCCTTATTCTGGGCCACTGCAAGTAGGCCAATGAGGAGACGAGGAACAGACCGGAAGTTATATGCAAAGTGGAAAGGCAGGGGCAAGAGTCAGTAGCCGAGGTATGAGTCTGAGAAATAAGTTTATCCACTGGTTACAAGGGGGTAGGAATGGAGCTGCAACAGAGCTTCCATCTGAGCCCTTTGCCCATTAAACTGACACTTCTTATATGTCCATCATGACCTACTGATCTCAGTTGAAGACCTCCTAAAATGGGATGATTTGCTGGAAGACCGAGTAGTTGTTTCTGGTAGGCTAATTTCATTCTCATATGTTTGTTTACCTTATGAGAGTTCAATCTATAGTTCAGATAGTGTTCTAGTTATATATGAATGCAAAAGCTTCACGCTCTGACGGAATGGGACGATTTATGTGAGTAATAAAGCAAAGAAACTTCTGGACTCGCTCACATGTAATGTATCACATCCACTGTATGAATGTGATCCAAGGTTAGAGTGGCTAAAAGTCATTGTCATCTGGTCACTGATTGGCGTCGGTATGAAATGCCCTGAAGCTCTTTTTTCACAGAGGTGCCCACATCATACAAACCACTGTGGCTTTGGCACTAAGCAACATCCTTGTTGGGAATTCCAGTGATAAAGTTAAAGATGAGTTAAAGGGTATAAATTATTCCTGGAGGAAGTTTCTTGTGGGAAGGCTCATTGTAGGGTCTCAGTAGGGGAAGAACCCGCACTGTCATTGTGCCATTATGCTATGGTGATGGCCAGAATCCCTGGTTTCCCTGCCAGCTACTCTCTGAGATCTAAGACTCAGAAACCCCTTTTGGCCAGTTTATCCAGGTTTATTTTATTCTAACATAAATATTGCTATAACTGATCCATCCGGTTGTCCAGAGTTCTGTTCTGAGCTTAACAGAAACTCGAACTGAGTCTCGGGTTTATATGTACACAAAAGAGGAGCCATCTAGGTCTAACATTTATGGAATACACCCTTTCCAGGTTAGTAGGTACTAACTAATTTGTTATTAGAAGATAACAAATTAGCATTCAGGACAAAGGTTTATTTACATTTCTTACATGTAAATCAACCAAAACAAAGAGGACAACTAAAACAAAATTTCTGTATATAAGAGGCTAATGGTAATTAAACAACTGAACTCAGTGGAATACAGTGAGAAAAGAGTATTATTTTTCCACCACACCTTCTAAATAAGGTGACAATATGTTCTGGCTCTTAGTTTACGCCCATTGTCCAGCTATAATTTTTATAGTCCAAATGAATTTCTCACTCTGATAATGTGTTCTAGCTTGGATAATGGTCACCCTACCTCTAACACATACTGTAGATGGAGCACTTCTTACTGAGCCTGGATGATATCTCAGGCAGATATCACAGCTTTCCTGGTCTCTTCTGGGTTTTAATACCTATATTTACTATCTATGTTATTTCCAGATCACATTTATAGGTAAGGTCGAATAAACATACACCATCCTGTCTCTCCCAGTCAGTATAGCTATAAAACCTGGACAAAACGCATAGGAAATTACTTTGAGGGTTCTTAAAAGTAAATAGAAGCAAGAAGATTAGACAAGACTAGATTAAAAGTTCCATGGTTTTATTTTCCTCCATTATCCCCTGGCTTAGTCCCACTGCAGTCAGAAACCCAGAAGTGGACATTAATGATAACAGAAAGAGTTCCAGAAGAAGCCCTCTAATTCTTCCTTGAAGAATGGGGAAAATATTTTCTAACACTCCCATACTTTTTCCTTTCTATGTTCTTTCACATCCCAGCTTCTATGTAATTCTATGATGGTGGCAGTGGCACTAACAAAAGCAGCAGTAAAAGGGACCCTGAAGTGCCTACATCTCTAAGGAAGGGGGATTGCCCACTTTAATACAGGAACTATGGTCCCCAAAAGGCATGACAAATCTTTACTCATATTTTTTCTTTGCTATTACCAGTTGCCTGTAGAGATGGAAGCAGTTGCAGGAAGTGCGCTTCAGAGTAGGGTGTATAAAGCACCAACACTTTGGCCAAAGAACTACAAAAAGGAGGATAGAAAGCCTATGGAACCAGAAAGTACAAAGGAGATAGCAGAGAGAGGGGAGCACAGGAAAACAAACCAATAATGTTGCATACAAACTCTCAGACTCTTTGAATACTATCCACTGAAGGCAAAAAAATATATAACATTTTCTGATAGGATTTTCAATGCAGGTAGATGTAATAATATGAGTCAACTATAACATAAAGGAGGGATGGTAAGGAAACCTATATAGGGGTAAGGTATCTACATACCACTTGAAGTGGTAAAATATTGATTCTCAATAGAAAGATAAACCATAACTACATTATATTTTAATCCCTTGAGCAACTGCTAAAACAAATAAATAAAAATATCATTAAAATATGATAAATAGATTAAAATGGAATAACAACAATATTCAAATAAACCAAAAGAAGGAAGAAAAAGGAAAATAGATGAACAAAAAAACTGAGGAAATAAACAGAAATAAAACAATAAAATGGTAGACATAAATCCCAACATATCAATAATCATATTACGTGTAAAATGTATAACCATTAGTAATTAAAATACCAAGATTATTAGAATGAATTAAAAAAATAATCCAACTATACTACAACTGCAATAAACACATTTCACATATAATGATATGGGTAAGTTAAAAGTGAAGGTTTAGATGAAAATGTATTATGTGAACATTAATTAAAGGAAAGTTAGAGTGCCTATGTTAACATCAGTTTAAGAAGACTTCAGAGCACAGAAAATTACCAGGGATTAAAGATAATATCACACTGTGACAAAAGGATATATTTGCCAAGAAGGCATAACAATCTTAAACATGTATGTACCAAACAACAGAGCTGAAAAATACATGAAGTAAAAACTGTCAGAACTAAAAGAAGAAATAGACAAATGCACACTTTTAGTTAGAAACTTTAGTGTTTTTCCTTCAGATATTGATAAAATTAGTAAACAGAAAATGAACCTGGATACAGAAGAACTGAACAATACCACTTAATTGGTAATTTCTAGATTTACTTGACAATTATAGAACACTCTACCCAACAACAGCAGAATATACATGCTTTTGATGTGCATATAGAACATTTTCTAAGATAAACCATATCCTGAGTCTTAAAACAAACATTAAGAAAATAAGAGAATTATACAAAATATATTCTCTATTTATAATGGATTTAGACTAGAATATAATAACAGAAAGATGGCAGAAAAATCTCAAAACACTTGGGAAATTAAGCAGCGCATTTCTAAATAATCCCTGGTAAAAGAGGAAGTCTCAAGGGAAATTACGTGCTATTTGGAACTGAATGAAAATGAAAATGCAACGTATCAAAATTTGCAGGATGAGGCCAAAGCCATACTTAGGAGGAAATTTATAGCATTAAGTGCTTATGTTAGAAAAGGAAAATAAATTAATAATCAAACTCCCACTTTAGCAAGTAGAAGGAAGGAAATAAACATAAGGGCATAAATTGATTATACTGAACACAGGAAAGCAATAGAAGAAATTAACAACAAAAGCTTTTTTCTTTTAAAAGATCAATAAAATTGATAAATCCCTACCAAGAATGGCCAAGAAACAAAAGAGGAAAGACACAAATTACCAGTATCAGGAATGGAAAAAAATGATAACACTACAGATCCTGCACATCTTAAAAGGATAATAAGGGAATAAGGATGACTATATGAACACATATTTGATAACCTAAATAAAACACACAAATTCTCAAAAGCCCACAAGATATCAAAACATACCCCAGATAAAACATATAGTCTGAACTGTGTATAACCAATAATGAAATCAAATTCTTAGTTTAAAATTTCCAAAAGTCTCCAGACCCAAATATTTTCATTGCCTAATTCTACCAAACCTTTCAAGGAAAAAAATAACACCAATTTTACAAAATTGCCTTCCAAAAATAGAAGATGAGGGAACATTTCCAAAGTTACTTTATGTGACCAGAATTTTTCTAATACCAAAACCAAAGTATGAGAAATGAAAAACTGCAGACCAACATTCTTCATAAACATTGACACAAAAGTATTCAAGAAAATATTAGCAAATAGAATCCAGCAATATATAAATATAATACCCCATAACCAAGTGGAGTTTATCCTAGGTATGCAAGGTTGGTTTAATATTCAATTTTTTTTTCCAATGTGATACTTCATATTATGAGTCTAAAGAAGAAAAACCACACGATCATATCAACTGATTCTAAAAAAACATTTGAAAAGATTTGTCATCCATTCATCATAAAAACTCTCAACAAACTAAGAATAGAAAGAAACTTATTCACCATGTTAAAGGGCTCTACAACAAAACTATAGCTAAAATCATATTGATGGTGAGAGATTGTATGGTTTCCCCATAAGATTGGGAACAAAGCAAACATGTTTGTTCTCACAAACCTATTCAAGCTTGTACTAATGGTCTTCACCAATGCAATAAAGCAAGAAAAATAAATAAAATGCCTGCAGTTTGAAAATGAAGAAATAAAACGGTCCTTATTCCTGACACATGATTTTCTATGTAGAAAATCCAACAAAAGTTAAAAAATTTTTTTTTCTAGGACTAATAAATA